CCGAATTTTTTTTGACTCGAGAAGATTTAATTTCCTCAGTTTACCTATCGAGAATTGAAATTTCCATCGTTAAACTTCATATTTTTTTTCCTGCACCCCTAAAGATTGGTTGATGTCCCCGGGACCTTGCAGTCTGAAAGGGAAAACCCTTTCATCAGATTGGGGTGTCATCTCAAAGGAAGACACGGGCTGTGGCGACTCCTTCTATGCGATAGGATGGGGAAAAAATTGGGAGCAGTACTGTGCCGGAAAACAAGCTTTTCACCGTAGCTCCCTCGGACTTTACTCTGTTGACGACAAACCCCGGTTTCTGTTAGGTAAATTTATAATCCATCGACCGACTTTTCCTTTTTTCCCTTTACGCCATTTTGTGCGCTATTACGCCATGGTCCCCTTGTCGAAGGTTTTTGCAAAGTCTGTAATATTAATCGCTTTCTTTTGCCCTTCATGCATTTAGGACCTTTCGTATATCCAGAATGAGACGACGGGACGACCTGTTCTAAACCCATTATCAATCCATCTCTAGAAAATACAAGGTAATGAAACCTTCAAAATGGGGGAGGCCAAAGCCCATGTGACACTCTCGGTCACTGTTCTTCTAGGCTGGAATTGCTGCACACTAAAAACACCTTTCAAGGCAGTGAAATTTTCGACCCAGAAAATTAAAAGAGAAAAACCTTTTACGGGGCGCATAAAGGAGATAAAAAACCTCAATTTCTGGACGCTTGAGTTTAAACCTTATTCCCCGAACGCACGGGGGGAAAATACATATTAATAACCGGGAAAACCAGAGGGACTATACCGAAATTTCACACGAAAATCACTCCCCCCAAACAAAATCTTGGGAGACGAGCAACATCCCCCAAGAAAAGCAGGGTTCACAGCATTTTAAAACCATACAAAAATTCAGGGCCCGAACTATTTAACGTCTACAACAAAGGGATTACCAACAACCCCTGGCACCTTTAACTGGGACTGGACAAAACACCTAAGTCGGTTCCTGATCACCGGCTGGGCTGTACTTTGGGTTTTCATGCACCACATAACACCTGGGTTTATCAGGCTCTGATCCACCAAGGCCTGGGCACAGACCACTGCAGGGGGGTTGACCCCGGAACTCTCTCCAAATCCAACTCTTCATACACAATTACTCCCGGGAAAAGGGAAAAAATATCTTTTTATCATCACCAATTTGACTGGGGATTAAGTGTATCAACCAAAACCTCACTCTAACTAAATCTAGAAAATAATCTGGCCAATTACCACAAATCTAGAGACTTTTCTGAGGTTCCGGGGTGTCTTGTCCCTCGCTGATATCTCAAGTTATGCAGAAAGCACATCCACCAATTTTTTCCTCCTATTTTAGAGGGGTTCAACACATTTTAACCTCTAGAGCACGAAAAAATTTTTCCCATTACCCCGTTTTTACAAAAATTTAAAACCAAGATGGGGAGTCCCCTGCCCAAACCCGCTTTCCGTTTTCTATACAAATATTATTAAATACAGATAGGGCCCTCTATTTACCTATAAATTACTGTATTTTCGAAATAACAGTATTTTTTCCCACCAATATGCACAAGCATTTCCCCTCTATGGTCATCTGAGGCGTGGGAAAAGAAATGGCTGCCCTTGGGGCCCTGGTGGTGTCGAGATCCGGAACCCAATTTTTTAAAGGGAAACTGTGGCAGTTTTCCCCCTGATCCCAAGGGCTCTGACCCACGGGAAAATTGATACTGTTGGCTTATGTCCCTTTTCTTGCTGATCTTTACCCTCCCTTGGTGCAGCTCCTTCCTGTCGCCCGCGTATAGCCCGTGGTTTAGCCTTCTTTTTTATTATAATAATAATTCCTGTCGCCCAACACTGTGATGGATATAGGTGTCAACCAGTGTGGACACACAGGAATAGTCCCATGCTAAGAGCTTGCCATTTTTCCAAGGGAAATGGTGATCCCTCGGGGGAGTTTGCGAGTTGTGGGTTTGTGGGTGCTATGACAGGGGGTCCCCTCGGCGGGGATCCAGCTGTGGCAAGGGTTCTTTTTATGATGTCGTTGACCTCATTGTGTCTTGCATGCCAGCCCTTGGTTTTGGAACAGTTGAGACCATGTAGACCATGTTGGTCGGCTTGTGCATCGCTGCAAATACACGTATATTCCGTGTGAGCTGGGGTGAATTGGGGCAGCAAGGCGCAGAGCCACTGAAATATGGAGGGTCTTAGGGTCGAGGCGTGTTTCCATTGCCGATATGGGAATTGTTTGGAGGAAGTCCCCAGAGTGATGTGAGCTCACAGCCCGGAGACGGGCGGTCTCCCTGTCAGATGTTACAGCCCTGAGCATGTTGGCAAGCACCTTTTCAGCGATCGGGCCATCCCAGCTTGACTGTTTGTGAGCCAGTGCTGCACTAGGGTTTGGTGCTGGAACAGCAAGAGTCTCCCATTCAGTGATGGCACTGTCATAGTTAGGGTCCTGTATTCCTGCTGAGTCACTCAGGTTATCAGTTAAAATTTGTCTTATTAACTCGTTTGATGCTGTGGATGAGAATAGGAAAGCTGGTAGAGCTATCTGGGAGGATCTGTGTACTTCCAGCCCCCCAAGCCTGACCAGAAGTGAGGCTCGCAACCACTGTCCATCTTCAAGGGAAAAATTCAATACACTCTAGCATGGTCTTAAGGAGTCATATTCCTTGAGTTTTGGACTACTGAAGGCTGGGGAGCATCTCAGAAAGTAGGTAAGTTTTGGGATTGACAGGCACCTGGTGAGTAGGTAGAAGGCTTCATGTGTATCAATGTCTTTTATCCTGCCTTCCATCGTCTGGAGGTCTGAGACTTTTTTTTCTAGGATCCGATCGATGGGGAAATGGTATGGTGATACCGACAAGATGTGGAAAAAGACACTTATGTACAGTTCAGGACATTTATTAAAGGAAACGTTTCGCCACGAGTGGCTTCTTCAGTCCTAGTACAGAGAAAACTAAGAAAACATTTATATATATATCTTTCCTCACCTCCTTAGTTCCATTTCTACTACTACTACTACTACTACCACCTCTACCCACGCGTCACCTCACCTGACTCCTACCACTATATATATAAATGTTTTCTTAGTTTTCTCTGTATTAGGACTGAAGAAGCCACTCGTGGCGAAACGTTTCCTTTAATAAATGTCCTGAACTGTACATAAGTGTCTTTTTCCACATCAGATCGATGGCATTGGACCCAAGCGGAGCGCCAAGGAGAGTGCTATTGGCTGGATCAGTGGCTCGTGCTCCTGGTAGAACAGCACTAATATTCTGGATCATCTGTCGATTGGTAGAAACTATTTCACATTTGGTGGGGTTTAAAGATAGGCCCAGGCTTTCTCCCATGTCTTTAATTTTTCTGATGTCCTCTAGGAGAGATTCTGTTGTGCCAGCTAGGGTACCATCATCCAAGAACCAGATATTGAGCTCACTGGAGAATGCTTCTGTGACTTCCTTGATGACCAAACAGGATAGAAACGGGAGAGAGGGTCCCCCTGTTGCACACCCCTCACACGAGTCAATTTCATGGTCCTAAACAATAGTTTGGAAGTCACACTATAGCACGATTCTATGAAGGGATAGAGGGAAGGGAAGTTTCTATAAACTGCTTGGAGAGCAGCATCCCTTCTGACTGAGTTGAAAGAGTTGGCAAAGTCCAATTTGATCAACGCTTTTTCATCGGACATGTTGATATATACTCGTGCTGCATGGGCAGCTGCTTCACATCCTTGTTGAACACCAAAACCGAGCCAAGTTGGTTTCAACATTGCAGCAGCCTCTTGACTCACCATTCTTACTCTAGCCTTGGCGACTAGGCGCCGAAGGGTGTTGCCCACTGCAATGGGCCTGATTCCTCCATCCTTTTTCCGGAGGGCACACAATGAGGCACCAAAGAAAAGGGGTCTAATGGTCTCTGGGACACTGCCAGCCAGACACAGGTTGGAAAATTTGGTGAGTTCAGACAGCAGCCTCTCTGAAACATCACCAAGTGCTGGATTGAGCATTTGTTTTAAGTGCTGAGGCCTTAAACCGGTGAAACCTCCTGCTGAGCCCTGTGGAAATGACATAGCAACTTTACATATACATACATACATACATACATATATATATATATATATATATATATATATATATATATATATTATATATATATATATATATATTATATATATATATATATATATATATATATATATATATATATATATATATATATATATATATATATATATATATATATATATATATATATAATATATATGACCTGGTGGCTAAAGCTCCCGCTTCACACACGGAGGGCCCGGGTTCGATTCCCGGCGGGTGGAAACATTCCGACACGTTTCCTTACACCTGTTGTCCTGTTCACCTAGCAGCAAATAGGTACCTGGGTGTTAGTCGACTGGTGTGGGTCGCATCCTGGGGGACAAGATTAAGGACCCCAATGGAAATAAGTTAGACAGTCCTCGATGACGCACTGACTTTCTTGGGTTATCCTGGGTGGCTAACCCTCCGGGGTTAAAAATCTGAACAAAATCTTATCTTATCTTATCTTTGATAGGAGTGAATGGAGACAAATGGTTTTTAATACTTGACGTGCTGTTGGAGTGTGAGCAAAGTAACATTTATGAAGGGGTTCAGGGAAACCGGCAGGCCGGACTTGAGTCCTGGAGATGGGAAGTACAGTGCCTGCACTCTGAAGGAGGGGTGTTAATGTTGCAGTTTAAAAACTGTAGTGTAAAGCACCCTTCTGGCAAGACAGTGATGGAGTGAATGATGGTGAAAGTTTTTCTTTTTCGGGCCACCCTGCCTTGGTGGGAATCGGCCAGTGTGATAATAAAAAAAATAATATATATATATATATATATATATATATATATATATATATATATATATATATATATATATATATATATATATATATATATTTAAATATATATCAGTATTAACTAGAGAAAATAGAATTAATGAAAGTTAGCGAGTAGTGATGTTCAGTTGTTGAAACGTTTGTAAACATTAAGAGAAGTGAAGGTGGCGGCCGTGTGAGGCGGCATCATTACTCGTTCAGCAGCTGTTATTACTAGGAACTTCTCAGCATACTGTACCTATTCATTCAACACTAGGAGTGGCCGAGGCTCGATACTCCGTCCCTTAATAGCTAGAGAAAGATTTATTAACCAGCACCCGCCAAGGTGTTGGCCAGGGAAGAAGACTGTATCGTGAGGAAATAAGGTGGTACCTACCTTGCTTCTGATATATCTTTCTCTTTTTTCTCTGTTGTTATGGGTTCCTCTAAGAAAAGTAAAGATAAAGATCGGGAGAGGAGCAGAGAAGAGAGGAAGGAGAAGAAGAAGAAGCACAGTACCAGGTCTGGGTCCAGAGACAGAGACCGAGAAGGAAAACATCACCATAGGTCAGTTTTTTTTTTTTTCTGCTTTAAGTTCATTCTTCTTTAATAGTGAAGTTGGATGAAAATAATTTGTTCATGCAGAATTAAACTTAAGTGTTTAGAAGAATTATAGGTTATATTTATTGAACCTATACTTCCAGTACTTTGTGTTGCTTCTTTCTAGCTTTTTATTGAAAAGATATATTGGAAATAATAGTTTTCTTTTAGACATCATCACAAACACAAAAAGCAGCGTAGCAAGAGAAGAGAGGATCGCTCTCGTTCTGTGTCTCCGAGCTTCAGCGAAGACAGCCTCTCTGACGTTGAACAGCTTCTTCAGTTAAAAGATGATTTGCCTGGTAAGATAGTTTGCACAATTTTTCATAGTCATGAAATCATTATAGTTTATTCCTGCAGGCAGCTTGTAGTTTAATCCATATTTGCTCTTTATCCATGGGGAGGAAGGGGGATGGGTAAGTATATTTTGCAATTTCTTTGGTTTAAATAGAAGAATATATCATTATTGGTCATAATTTATGCCCTCTATGATTCTAATTGGCATAACACTTTTTCAAGAATAAAAATGAAGGTCATTTTTTGGAATTACAGTACTGCTTTTTAACCCATTCAATTTATAAATGATTACTGTATCACCATTTCAAAAATATATATGCTTGTCTTGTGTACCACTAGCATACAGGAATCTTCAAGGTCAAATGTATAACATTGAAGGCTTCATGGATTTATTAACATATTTGCAGGATGCATATCTTTGATGTAGTTTTTTTTATGATACAGTTCCTTTCAAGATAATTTACATACCATAGCTACTTCCTAAATTTTTTGATAAATAAAATTCTGTTTTGGGTAACAGTTGAAAAGTGGTAATAATTAGGTTTAGTTCAAAGATGAACTTAGATTTATTAGCTTTTATAAATGTTTTAATGAATGCATAACATATATTTTGGTGTGTCCATAAAATCAGTACCAAGAAGAGAGAGGGAGAAGGACTTTTGTAGATTAGAACAGTGAAAAGATCGGGATGATACGAAGATTTTTTACCAGTGCAGGTACCCAATTTTAGGCAGATACCGATACCATCAAAATTAACCAATACTGGTATAATACTTACACCAGTACCAGAAAAATAGCCAATACATTGGACCCTCGGTTATCAGTCGATCAATCAAGTTTATTCTCTACAAGGATTACAATGTGGGGTTTACAGATTTTGGTTATTGTGTGGTTTACATGTAATGAAATACTAATCACAGAGGGGGGCCACTAGGACACCCAGCATGGCTAGGCATTTCGGGAAGACTTAGATTAATTCTTAACTCTAAATTATTACAAATTATGGAGTAAGTTGGTATTATGGCTAAGTGACTAAATACTAGTTTGTGAGTTTAGCAATGTGAATGCTTTTGTTTTGGCAAAATACATAGTTTCTATATTGGAGTATCACAGGCAAACTTATGACTAGTTAGGATTCATTATTTTAAGATTAAGATTTGTATTTCTGTGTTTATAGTCAAATGGGTGAGTGAATGAGTGTAAGTGTGAACCACCAGGTGGTTTTCATGTAGTTAGTTGACGGGGTGTATCAGGGAGAAAAGATGTTTTCTAACGGTAGTTTTGAAGGTGATGAATGTGTCTGCAGTTCTAGAGTTTTCAGGTAGGGTGTTCCAGATTTAGGGCCTTTGACATACATTGAATTTTTGTATAGGTTTAGTCGGACATGGGGAATGTCATAGAGATGGTTGTGTCTAGTGTTATGCCTGTGGGTCCTGTCACAACTATCAAGAAAGGGTTTTAGGTCAAGGTTAATATTGGAATTTAAGGTCCTGTGGATGTAGATTGCACAGTAGTAAGTGTGGATGTTCTGATGAAGAGTGGGTGGGTGTGTTGCCAGGGATGGGATTTAGTGATTATTCTTACTGCGGCTTTTTGTTGGATTATTATTGGCTTTAGGTGTGTTGCTGCAGCTGATCCCCAAGCACAAATAGCATAGGTGAGGTATGGATCAATGAGTGAATGGTATAGTGTGAGAAGGGCATTTTGCTGCACGTAGTATCGTATCTTGGAGAGGATCCCAACCGTTTTGGATACTTTTTTTGTTATGTGTTGGATATGGGTGCTGAAGTTCAGGTTGTTGTCGAAGTATAGGCCTAGGAATTTGCCCTCATTATGTCTGGCAATTAGAGTGTTGTCGATCTTATGTTAAGTTGCGCAACACCTGCTGTGCTACCAAACATAATACGTATAGTAGGTTTTGTCAGTGTTAAGTGTAAGTTTATTGGCTGTCATCCAAGTTGATATTTTGAGCAGCTCCTCATTAACAATGGTGTTGAGGGTGGCAAGATTAGGGTGAGAGATGACATAAGTCATGTCGTCAGCAAAGAGAATGGGTTTCAGGTGTTGGGATACGTTTGGAAGATCATTGATGTAAATGAGGAAGAGCAGGGGACCAAGGACACTTCCCTACGGAACTCCAGAATCAATTGGCCGTGTTGATGATGCTGTGTCTTTAATGGTGACATACTGATATCTATTAGTAAGGTAGGATTTGAAATATGCAAGCGCATGGCCTCTTATACCATAATGGTCAAGTGTGTGGAGTAGGATGCAGTGGTCAACTGTGTCAAAAGCTTTTCTTAGGTTAATAAAAATTCCTAGCGGATATTCCTTATTTTCAAATGCTGTGTAAAGTAGATCTAGCATTTTTACAATTGCATCATTAGTGCTTTTATCTTTCCTGAATCCAAATTGGCAGGGGTTGAGTATGTTTTGTGCCGTTATAAATGAATATAGTCTCCTGTGCACGAGTTTCTTGAAGATTTTGGATAGCAATTGTAAGTTTGATATTGGCCTATAGTTGTTTACATCTGTAGGGTCACCAACTTTATGTATTGGTGTAACCCTTGCTGTCTTGAGTAGTTTCGGGAAGGTGCTAGTTTCTAGTGACTTGTTAAAAGGTAATGAAATAGCATCCGAAAGGACATGGACCGCCTGCTTGTACAATAATGGTGGGACATGAGACAGAGTCCCTGAGTTATTTTTAAGTGACTTTATAATCTCAGTGACTTTCGTGGGCTCAGTTGGTACAAGATAGAAGGAATTTGGGAAATTCCCATCTAGGTAGTCCTCGGCATGGGCGTTGGTACGTGGGATTTTACTGGCAAGATTAGATCCTATGGTTGAGAAGAGGTCGTTTATCTTGTTAGCCATAATCCATTCCAGGAGCTTGGCCTAAAACCGAAATGGCCAAAAACCAAAATAATATTTCCCATAAGAATTAATATAAATACAATTAATCCGTTCCAGACAAAAATATTCACAAAAAAATAATTTTTTTAACAATTAAATCAGTATTACATACCTTTATTGAAGACTAATGCTGGCTTCTGGAATGCCTGCTACACTTTCTGCATGCCTGCTACACCTCCTGCATGCCTGTTAAACTCCCTGCATGCCTGTTACACTCCCTGCATGCCTGTTACACTCCCTGCATGCCTGTTACACTCCCTTCATGCCTGTTACACTCCCTGCATGCCTGTTACACTCCCTGCCTGCCTGTTACACTCCCTGCATGCCTGTTACACTCCCTGCATGCCTGTTACACTCCCTGCATGCCTGCTTCACTCCCTGCATGCCTGCTACACTCCTTGCATGCCTGCTACACTCCTTGCATGCCTGCTACACTTCATGCTTAAATTCCATGGTGTTTCTCACTTTCTTTACCACAGGAACTTTATTAGGAACTTTCTTTGGAGCCATGGTTACTTATTTTGCAGTTACACTGCAAAAAAAAAAAGAAGGAAAACAAGCGAAATGTTTGGATGTGTGAGCAGAAGCTTCATTGCACAGCGAGAAACACAGCCAAACTGACACGCAAGCGGCCTCAGCTGGCAGACGGACACGTCTGAAACGGCTGATCACCGAAATAAAGGCCGATCACTGGGAACCGAAAAACCGGCTAATCAGCGAGTTGGCTGATAACAGGAATGGCCGATAACCGACAGTGTGGACCCTCGGTTATCGGCCATTCCTGTACTTACTGTTACTCAAATTTAGGCCAATACTGATATCATCATAATTAGTTAATACCTACTGATACCAATACGGCACATCCCTACAATTAAGAGGGTTGTGGATAGCCAAGAAGAGAGAAGTAGGAAGCATCAAGTAGCCTGATTTAAATTTTAAGAGTGGTTTTTTTCACATAGTGATGACTATAGTTTTAATGTTTCCCATTTGTAAATAATAATAATAATATCTGTTTGTTGATTGTTTGATTTATTGAATAGCACACCATTTATATTTCTTATGCCTTCTCCCTGCTTAATTTGTCTACTTTCCTTTCTGATGCACCTACCTTTATTGCAGAAAACCTTTGACTACTTAGTTGGCACTGGTTTGTTTCAGTAGCTATAACCATGATTCTTCAGCCATTGTTCTTGCCTTACCACTTCCACCTCTAGTGGTCCCCCTTCCCCATATCTTACACTTTGTCATGAAGACCTTTATGACCCTTTTAGGTTTAGTGCTTTCAATACATACACAGTAGTAGTAGTAGTAATAATAATAATAGTAATGTCCATGTGTTATGTTGTGACTCTCTAGGAAGAATATGAAGTCTGAATTAGTGAACATTAGAATGTATAAATGGGTCTTATGTTCAGAAAGCTTATAAAAAACTGTAGATGTGGTATGTATTGTCTAAAACTAGTCTGATGTAATTCTGTTGGCTGACTTTTGGCATGTGATTACATACTCTGATTTCAGATGTTTTGCTGTAGTTCCCTCCCCCCCATCCAGTGCACAAATATATGCCAGTTTTGTATAGCAAATTTCTACCAAGTATTTAATTGTGGATGGCTTTCATAGGCTGAGCACTACATAAACTAAAGAGTGTTGTATCTTGCCATACTCAGGACAACATGCCTTGCGGATTCCACCACCTCCAAAAATTTCAGCTCCACCACTTCAGGTATCAAAACTCTCAGCACCGCCACCTCCCAGAATTTCACCACTGCCACCTCCAAAAGTTGCAAAGCGAACTCCTTCTCCCCCCTCTGCACAGCCATCTGGTGGAAGTGGGGAAATTTCACTTTCAATTGAAGAGACAAATAAGATTCGGGCAAAGCTAGGATTGAGACCGCTGAAGGTTTGTCGTCCTTTACTGCTTATTCTTATGTTAACAGTGCTCTTATATGCTATCTTCAGAGACATTTTATTCAGTAATCTCCATAACTTTACTTTGTTTTTTAAAAGACCATTATTCATTTAGCATATGTAAGTAATGTACTCAAGTTAGATTTTGGAGAATATTTAAAGTATTTTATTGTAGAAATATACAGTATATGGAGTTAATACAACTGGACAACTAGTAAATGGTATCACAATGTAACTCTCCACTGGTAAAAAAAACTAGTAAGTGATCTCAGTGTAACTGTGTCTCCTGGTAAAGACCCCTTCTGTCATAGTTGTATTCACAAAGAGTGCCTCTAATCTGAAGGACGGGTGGCAGTGTTGCAATTGTGATATATAGTGCGCACATTTTTGGAAAGGTAGCCATTGAATGGGTGATGGTGAATGTGTTTCCTAATTTGGGGTCACCCTACCTTGAATTTAAGTGGTTAATATGGTAAAAAAAAAAAAAAACTCTCTGCCCTAAAGGTTGAATCAGCACCTGTGAAAGAGGATGAAGAGAAACCAGATGTCATAGAGATAGAAGATGACAACATAACCACAAGCAAGGTTGAAGAATTTGTACACAAACCTGCTGAAAGCATTACCCAAAAGTTACAGGTATGTTAAATATGTGAACTGTAATGCTTTTTTTTTTTTTAAATGTTAAAAACATATGTTAATTTTAAAATGATTGGAAACAACTGTATAGTATCAAGTGCATAGTTTTGAGTTCTAGTTTTAATCTGCCTGAAATGAAATGCTCTGCATCATCAGGGGCTTTTGATACACAAATAACCCACACTTAGGAGACTGAAACTTGGCCCTCACAGATGCTGTCTTGTTGAAGCATCCCTTCTATTCAAATTCAAAGTTTATTCTCTATAAGGATTACAATGCTGAGTTTACAGAATTTGGTTATTGTGTGGTTTACATGTAGTAAAATAATAATTACAGAGTACCACTAGAACACCTAGCATGGCTAGGCATTTCGGGCAGACTTAAATTAAATCTTAAGTTTAAAATATTACAAAATTATGAGGTAAGTTGGTATTATGGCTAAGTGACTAAATACTAGTTTGTGAGTTTAGCAATGTGAATGCTTTTGTTTTGGCACTATACATAATTTCAGTATTGGAGTATCACAGGCCAACTTATGACTAGTTAAGATTCATTATTTTGAGATTGAGATTGATATTTTTGTTTATGGTCAAATGGGTGAGTGAGTGTAAGTGTTAACCACCAGGTGGTATTCATGTAATTAGTTGACAGGGTGTATCAGGGAGATAAGATGTTTTCTGATGGTAGTTTTGAAGGTGATGAATGTGTCTGCAGTTTTAGAATTTTCAGGTAGGGTGTTCCAGATTTTAGGGCCTTTGACATACATTGAATTTTTGTAAATGTTTAGTCGGACACGGGGAATGTCATAGAGATGTTTGTGTCTGGTGTTGTGCCTGTGGGTTCTGTCGCAACTATCAAGAAAGCGTTTTAGGTCAAGGTTAATATTGGAATTTAAGGTCCTGTAGATGTAGATTGCACAGTAGTAAGTGTGGATGTACTGAACAGGGAGTAAGTGTAGATCTATGAAGAGGTGGGGGGGTGCGTTGCCAGGGATGGGATTTAGTGATTATTCTTACTGCGGCTTTTTGTTGGGTTATTATTGGCTTTAGGTGTGTTGCTGCAGTTGAACCCCAAGCACAGATAGCATAGGTGAGGTATGGATATATAAGTGAATGGTATAGTGTGAGAAGGGCAGTTTGCGGCACGTAGTATCGTATCTTGGAGAGGATCCCAACCGTTTTGGATACTTATTTGGTTATGTGTTGGATATGGGTGCTGAAGTTCAGGTTGTTGTCGAGGTATAGGCCTAGGAATTTGCCCTCATTATGCCTGGTAATTAGAGTGTTGTCGATCTTAATGTTAATTTGCGCATCTCCTGCTCTGCTACCAAACATAATGTAGTAGGTTTTGTCAGTGTTAAGCATAAGTTTATTGGCTGTCATCCAAGTCGATATTTTGATCAGCTCCTCATTAACAATGGTGTTGAGGGTGGCAAGATTAGGGTGAGAGATGACATAAGTCGTGTCGTCAGCAAAGAGAATGGGGTTCAGGTGTCGAGATACGTTTGGAAGATCGTTGATGTATATGAGGAAGAGCAGGGGACCAAGGACACTTCAAAGCGGAACTCCAGTATCAAGTGGCTGTGTTGTTGATGCTGTGTCTTTAATGGTGACATACTGATACCTATTAGTAAGGTAAGATTTGAAATATGCAAGCGCATGGCCTCTTATACCATAATGGTCAAGTTTGTGGAGTAGGATGCCGTGGTCTACTGTGTCAAAAGCTTTTCTTAGGTCAATAAAAATTCCTAGTGGATATTCCTTATTTTCCAATGCTGTGTAAAGCAGATCTAGCATTTTTATGATTGCATCGTTAGTGCTTTTATTTTTCCTGAATCCAAATTGGCAGGGGTTGAGTATGTTTTGTGCCGTTATAAATGAATATAGTCTCCTGTGCACGAGTTTCTCAAAGATTTTGGATAGCAATTGTAAGTTTGATATTGGCCTATAGTTGTTTAAATCTGTAGGGTCACCACCTTTATGTATTGGTGTAACCCTTGCCGTCTTGAGTAGTTTCGGGAAGGTGCTAGTTTCTAGTGACTTGTTAAAAAGTAATGAGATAGCATGCGAGAGGACATGGGCCGCTCTCTTGTACAATAATGGTGGGACATGAGACAGATTCCCTGAGTTATTTTTAAGTGACTTTATAATCTCGGTGACTTCCATGGGCTCAGTTGGAGCAAGATAGAAGGAATTTGGGAAATTTCCATCGAGGTAGTCCCCGGCATGGGCATTGGTACGTAGGATTTTATTGGCGAGATTAGAACCTATGGTTGAGAAGAAGTCGTTTATCTTGTTAGCTGTGTCAGTGGGATGCAGTGGTGTTTCATTAGGTTTAGTTAGGGCAATATTCTTGGTTTTTTTTCAGTTTGTGGGTCCCTAGAATCTGAGAGAGTGTTTTCCAGGTCTTTTTTATATCTCCTCTTGTGTCAGTGAATCTACTGGAGTAGTATAGTTGTTTGGCTTTCTTTATTACTTTGGTGAGGACTGATGAATAGTGTTTAAGAATATCTTTGTGTATTAAGCCCTGTCTATATTGCTTTTCATATTGGTGTTTCTTATCAATGGATTTCAGAATGGTGCTGGTTAGCCATGGGCAACCAAGTCGTTTGTTTGTGATCTGTTTCGTTTTTATAGGGCAATGTTTGTTGTATAGTCTAAGTAATTTGTTAAGAAAAATGTCTGTCCAGTCATCAATACCATTGGCCTTGGAGAATTCTGTAGGCCAGTCAACAGTCTCTAGGTCAGCTGTGAACTTCTTTATTGAGGCCTCGTCATGGAGTCTAAATGAAACTTGGTTGTATTCAAGTGGTGGTTTACTAATGTTTGTCAAGAGGAAGGTAGGGTAGTGGTCTGTAGTGCTATCTGTGATTATCCCTGATTTAAGGGGGGCTAGTATATTGGTCCATATGTGGTCTATTATGGTTGCACTTGTTTCAGTGAGCCTGGTTGGTTTAGTTATTGTTGGTATGAGAAGTGTGTTGTTCATATTGTTGATGAAATCAGTTACAGGCTGATCATCTAGTAGGCCAAGGTTGATGTTGAAGTCTCCAGCTAAGAGAAGGTTGTGCTTATTCATTTGTCTGTTTGTTATTAGTGCCTTTAGTTTCTCACTGAAATTTGGGATGTTTGTGTGGGGTATCCGGTAAATGGCACCGATTGTTATAGGCGTCTTAAGGTTTTTTACAGTAAAATTAGCAAAAATGTATTCTCAATATTCATCACTAAAGCAAGTGATGCTAATACAAGATAATTGGTTAGAGTAATAGATTGCAATACCACCCCCAACTTGGTATGGTCTGCAGTTGTGGATTGCTGTGTATCCTGGTAGAGGGTAGATATCTATTGTGTCCTGCTTAAGCCAGGTCTCCGTAAGAATAATGCAGGAGAAGGGTGTCTTTAGTGATTCAAGGAGTGCCAGGAGGTCATCATAGTGTTTGCTTAAGGACCTAATGTTGTAGTTAAGTACTGATAGACTTTTAGCATTGTTTAGGATAGTGCTGGCTTGTGATGCTGTGTAGTAAAGGCAGTTACTTTCCAATAGGTTTTGATTGTGTGTCAGATTATGGAGGTTTAGATCAGGGTCAACGTGATCAATCATCTTCTAGGTTTAAATTATGGTTATTTATATCCTGAGTTGTGTGTTGAGTTTTAGTACTGATATCTGTAGTGGTGGGAAGTTTGGACAAGTGTATAGCTATAGCATTTTGGTCATGTAGAGTGTAGTCACTAATACACATAACGGAGTTGGTGTTGTCTATGTGTTGTGCTGGAATGAGCTAAAGTACAACTAGGTTTTTTTTTTTTTTTTTTTTTTTTTTTTTTTTTTTTTTTTTCCCCCCCAACAAGTCGGCCGTCTCCCACCGAGGCAGGGTGACCCAAAAAAGAAAAAAAAATCCCCAAAAAGAAAATACTTTCATCATCACTCAACACTTTCACCACACTCACACATTATCACTGTTTTTGCAGAGGTGCTCAGAATACAACAGTTTAGAAGCATATACGTATAAAGATACACAACATATCCCTCCAAACTGCCAATATCCCAAAACCCCTCCTTTAAAGTGCAAGCATTGTACTTCCCATTTCCAGGACTCAAGTCCGACTATATGAAAATAACCGGTTTCCCTGAATCCCTTCACTAAATATTACCCTGCTCACACTCCAACAGATCGTCAGGTCCCAAGTATCATTCGTCTCCATTCACTCCTATCTAACACGCTCATGCACGCTTGCTGGAAGTCCAACCCCCTTGCCCACAAAACCTCCTTTAACCCCTCTTTCCAACCCTTTCGAGGACGACCCCTACCCCTCCTTCCTTTCCCTATAGATTTATATGCTTTCCATGTCATTCTACTTTGATCCATTCTCTCTAAATGACCAAACCACCTCAACAACCCCTCTTCTGCCCTCTGATTAATGCTTTTATTAACTCCACACCTTCTCCTAATTTCCACACTCTGAATTTTCTGCATAATATTTACACCACACATTGCCCTTAGACAGGACATCTCCACTGCCTCCAACGTCTCCTTGCTGCTGCATTTACCACCCAAGCTTCACATCCATATAAGAGTGTTGGTACTACTATACTTTCATACATTCCCTTCTTTGCCTCCATAGATAACTTTTTTGACTCCACATATACCTCAACGCACCACTCACCTTTTTTCCCTCATCAATTCTATGATTAACCTCATCCTTCATAAACCCATCCACCGACACGTCAACTCCCAAGTATCTGAAAGCATTCACTTCTTCCATTCTCCTCCTCCCCAATTTGATATCCAATTTTTCTTTATCTAAATCATTTGATACCCTCATCACCTTACTCTTTTCTATGTTCACTTTCAACTTTCTACCTTTACACACATTCTCAAACTCATCCACTAACCTTTGCAATTTTTCTTTAGAATCTCCCATAAGCACAGTATCATCAGCAAAAAGTAACTGTGTCAGTTCCCATTTTGAATTTGATTCCCCATAATTTAATCCCACCCC